TATGTACATTGTTGTTTGCATGCTGTCTTCTCCATTTGAATGTGAGCTCTTTGAGGGAAATGACTGTGTGTTTGCTTTTTTCCTGTATTCCTAGTGCTTAGCACAGTGTCTTGTGTATAGTGTGCATAGTAAATGCTTGTTAAGTGACTGACTGATTTCTAACTCCAGTCCAACATTTTATCCACTGCACCACCTAAAGAGGCATTTTGTAAAAATAGTAGGTTAGTGGTTCTCCATTGACATCATTCTAAAAGGCTGAGATTACCAATTCCTTATTACTAGACTGTCCACTCATTTATCGAAACTCCTTTTTGCTGTGTTTGTATTTTCAATCAAAATGCCAACAAGATTTTAGTTCATAGTCTGACTTGAGGCATAATTGTGCCAAGGTGTTACATCCCTTTCCTTAACAGTTGCTACTTCCAGAAAGCTGGAAAATAATTTTTACAGAAAGTATCTCTGATAAATGTCTCATTTCCCAAATATATAGAGAACCAAGTTAAATTTATAAGAATACAAGCCATTCCTTAATTGACAAATGGCCAAAGGATATGAATGGACACTTTTCAGAAGAAGAAATCAAAGCTATCTCTAGTCATATGAAAAAATGTTCTAAATTGTGATTGGTTAAAGAAATGCAAATTAAAACAACTCTGAGGTATCACCGCACACCTATCAGATTGGCTAATATGACAGAAAGGGAAAATGATGAATGTTGTAGAGGATGTGGGAAAATTGGGACACTAATGCACTGTTGGTGGAGTTGTTAACTAATCCAACCATTCTGGAGAGCAATTTGAAACTATACCCAAAGGGCAATCAAACTGCATATACCCTTTGATTCAGCAATATCACTAGTAGGTCTTCATCCCAAAGAAAGCATTAAAAAAGAAAAAAAAGGACCTGTAGAAAAATATTTATAGCAGTTCTTTTTGTGGTGGCAAAGAATTGGAAATTGAGAGGATGCTCATCAATTCTGGAATGACTGAACAAGTTGTGGTATATGAATGTAATGGAATGCTATTGTGCTATAAGAAATGATGAGCAAGCAGACTTCAGAAAAACCTGGAAAAACTTTTATGGACTGATTCTTTGTGAAGTGAGCAGAACCAGGAGAGCATCGTACACAGTAACAGCCACGTTGTGTGATGACTAATGTTGATACACTTAGCCCTTCTCAGCAATGCAAGGATCTAAGGCATTTCCAAAGGTCTCATGATGGAAAATGCCATCCACAACCAAAGAAAGAACTATGGAGTTTGAATGCAGATAGAAGCACACTATTTGCTATTTTTTTCTTCTTCTGTTTTGTTTTGTTTCCTCTTTCTGATGGTTCCTCCTATTGGTTCTAATACTTCTTTACAACATGACTAATGTGAAAATACATTTAATAGGAATGTATATGTAGAGCCTATATCAGATTGCATGCCATCTTGGAGAGGGAGGCGGGCAGGGAAGGGGAGAAAATTTAAAACTCAAAAGCTTATGGAAGTGAATGTTGAAAACTAAAAATTAATTAAAAAAAAAAGAAATGATGAGCAGGTAAATTTCAGAAAAACCTGGTAAGACATGCACTGAAGCAAAGTGAAGTGAGTGGAACCAGGAGAACATTGTACACAACAGTACAAAGTTACAACAGTAACATTGTGCAACGATCAACTATGATTGACTTAGCTCTTCTCAGCAATACAATGATCCAAGATGATTCCAAAAGATTCATGATGGAAAATGCTATTCACATCCAGAGAAAGAACTGATGCAGTCTGAATGCAGATCGAAGAATACTATTTTCACTTTATTTGTGTGTGTGTGTGTGTGTTTGTTTTCCCCTTTTGTTCTGTTTCTTCTTTTACAACATGATTAATATGGAAATGTTGTTGGGCAGACAATAACAGTATGGAAATATGTTTTACATGATTGCACGTATGTAACCTATATAAAATTGCTTACTGTCTTGAGGAGGGAAGGAGAAAATTGGAATTCAAAATTAAATATATATAAATATATATATGTATGTATATATATATATATATAAATGTTTAAAATTATCTTTACATATAATTAAAAAAAATAAAATGTTATTTAAAAGAAAAACAAAAAACTCAGTTATGCTTCCCCCGATTTATATTTGACAGACTAATTTTAGAATATATTTAAATAGTTCCACCCCAGTGTTTGGATTAAAAGAAATTTCTGCTCCCTATATACAAGCAGCTAGGTGGCTCAGTAGATAGAGCACCAGGCCTGGAGTTCAAATCCAATCTTGGATACTTACTAGCTGTGTGACTCTGGGCAAGTCACTTCACCCTGTTTGCCTCAGTTTCCTCATCTGTAAAATGATTAGAGAAAGAAATGGCAAAACACTCCAGGATCATTGCCAAGAAAACCCCAAATGGAGTTACTCAACAATAACGACACCGCTTCCCATATAGTTCTCTGTTTTATCCTTGGCTCAGCTGATTTCAGTAAGGCCTCATATGATCTGGAGATTTACCATATACACAGTCATTCTGGGGCATTTATGAAAATGTATTACACACGCATCTCCATTCTGAATTCACAGTATCATAGGATCCTAGTGGATTTGGAGCTGGAAGGGACATGATAGAGGAGAAAGCACTGACTCTGGTCTCAGGAATCTGAGTTCAAATTCTACCTCTGACACAATAGTAATAATAGCTAACATTTCTACAATGCTTTAAAACTTAGGAAGTACTTAAAATTCCTCTCATTTCATGCTCCCAACAACACTATCCTCATTTTACAAAGAAGGAAATTGAAAATGAAGGAGCGAGTGACTTGTCCAGGGTCACACAGTCAGGGAGTGTCTGAGATAGGATTTGAACTCCAGTCTTTCAGCTCCAAGCCCAGGGCTCCATCCTGTTGTACTACCCAGCTGCTTACTGTATGCCACAGCATATAAAGAATTAGATGGACTACTTTCTTCTAAAGCAAAGTGGGTAATCCTCATAGAAATTCCTTCTGGAAAATTGTAAATGGTCTGAATGACCTCACAACCTTCTGGTTTAAGAGCTAATTGACAACTGTCATAATTTCATAATTATTAAAAGTTTGCGAACAGAGAGGCAGGGTGCTACTATGAAAAAAATACTAAATTTACAGTCAAGTCAGGTGAGATCTGGGTTCTAATTTATCATGTGACATTTACCAGTTATGTGATCGTAGGAAAGTCATTTAATTTATCTGAGCCTCAGTTTCCTTATCTGTAAAATGGGAATAATAGCAGGTGTGAGATCTACCTCTTGGGGTTATTGTGAGAGCAAATGAGAAAATACACAAAAAGCTTTTTGCAAACCTTTAAGAGTATGCTGCAAATGTCACCCGTTATGTTAGAAAAGGGACAAAATGAGCAAGCATTTAAGAATTCCAAGATGCCATCCCAGTACTTGTAGTTCTGACCTGGCACAGGTTTACTGTATTCCTGGTGCAGGGTTCTGTATTGATTGTAAAGTTTCTGACGATGCACTGCCTTCCTCAGTCTGACTGCCTAAATCCCGTAGCTTTGCTATGAGATTGCAATTTGTAAGAGATTTAGTCCAGGGTTGGGGACTAATTGAAGACAATTGGAGTTGTATTAATGCAGTAATTTTATGTTGTTATTTATGATGGTAGAGAGTGTGATTTGGAGGAGTTTTAAAGACGTGACATGTCATGAACGGTATGATGGGGGTAGGTCATGTTTGATGCGTAAAAGCTGGCAATTTATCTTTATAACTGAGATAATATAAAAACACATGAAAAATGAAATGTAAACATGAAGCTGCCTGATTTAGATTTATGAAGGTAATTGTAGTTTATAGTAGTCTTAATCTTTTCTTTTTGTCATTGCTTATAGAGACCTTGTTAATTTTAAGAAGTAATAGTGAATCAGTTAACCCATAAAAACATCCTGGGGAAAAATCTGGTGTCTCACTTTTGAAATACGAACCACTTAGTAGGGAGAATTAATGGTTTTAGATGATAAAGCTTTGTTGCTGAATTAGTTCCTTGTAGTATTTAATAGTTTTCCATGCACAATAAGTTTGTTTTTAAATCTCTTAATGATTTCCTGTAAAATCTCTTATAGTGTGGCCAGAAACAATCATTTGAGCCACCCAGTCTCACTAGAAAATTAGCTTGACTTCTCTTTACATCATTCCTGCTCATGTCTTATTTATCCAGTTTTTGAATGATTTTTAAAGATTTCTCTTCAAGAAGTCTCCCTTAATCAATGTACTTTCCCATTCCCATGAAGAATTCTTCCATATGGTGATAGCCTACGTGTTTTCTGTTTTGACCCGATTGTTATTCTTTTGTCCAAGAATTGATTTAAATACTTGAAAAAATGATATTTAAGGGTTTTGTTCTTGCCACCTAGAATTTTTATAACTTTGACTTCTACCCTATCTCTTGCAGACACATTTTGTTTAAGTCTATCATTTTTGTTGTTTCTTCTCTATGATGTCTTGAGTTTCTTCATTCTCCACTTAAAGAGAACTATTGAAACCAAACTGAGCTTTAAGCCCTCTCACTTTTAAGCCAGCTTTCTTTCTGATGATGCACTGCCTTCCTCAGTCTGACTCCTAAAAGTTCTCCTTCTCTACACACCCCTTCTCTGTGTCAGGTTTGGTGTTTCTGGTCACATGATCGGTAAGATGGAGAGTCATCTAAAACAACCAAGATTCATCTCTAAGGTGGTCTCTTTTTTCTGGAGGTCTCAGCTCTACTTTATTGTGTCTCTGTCTTTCTCCTGCTGATCATGGATGACTTCTCTTCATGGAGCCCCACATTTCTCTTCACTTTTGGGGATCTTCTGGATCAGTTCCTTAAACAATAATTGATTACTCTTTGCACACAATAAGCCATTCTTTTCCTGGATCGTAGACACATATTTGCCAGTGAATCTAGGTAGATGGCAATTAGATGACAGTCTATTAAAAGTCTTCACTGAACCAGAACCTGGGTTGAAATTAACCAAATCCTTCGTTGTACCTTTGCAGATGAGAGTCCCTACACTAAGTCCGCCAGCCAGACAAAGCCACCTGATGGATCATTGGCTGTGAGGAGACAGAGCATCCCAGGTTAGACCAGATTACTGGATCATCAGTTATTTTATTTGTTAAATCTCGTTGCCTCACGAGCCTGGAAAACTCCAACTTGGCACCCCCTTCTCCAAATTTTTTTTTAAAATTTATGTCACTTGTTCAACTGAGTGTAGTATGTGTTTTAGAAAACTTCTTATTCTGATTGATGCATTCTTAAAATGTGGGCTTTGGAAGAATCTGACAACTTGCAAAAATCCATCTTGCTTGGACTTCCTTTGTCAAGTTATTTGAATTGATACTCACTCTCAGTTTTTCTCCTCTCTTATTTTTCATGGTGACTTTTTTCAGTGGTACATATTTGTTCAATGATAGATAACACATAGGTTGAGAAGGGGTCAAGAAATAACTAGAGTAGGAGAAGATATGTCTCCTGAATAAAAGATGTCTGAAGACCTGAAGCACCTTTTCCCAGATCCTTTCTTCTCACTCGCTTTTTAGACCTAGAATAATTTCCTTTGACAACTGTTTTAAAATTGAGGAGTTTCTTGATTCATTCCTGAATGAATTAGGTCATAATAGGCTTAATATATTTTACCATCCAGAAGTTATGGAGGAATGAATGACCATGAATATTCCAAAACTTGGGACCTATGAATTTCAGAATTGCTGGAAAACATGAATTCTAGAACTAAATAGTCATAATATATATATATATATATATATATATATATATATATTAGGGGAATTTTGTCATCTCAATCACATCCAACTCTGTGACTCCATTTGAGGTATTCTTGGCAAAGATACTGGAATAGTGTGCCATTTCTTTCTCTGGCTTATTTTATAGTTGAGGAAACTAAAGCAAACAGAGTTGAAGTGATTTGCCCAGAGTCCCACAGCTACTAAGTGTCTACTGCCAGATTTGAACTTACAAAGATGAATCTCTCTGACTCCAGGGCCACCTAGCCGCCTGTTAATGAAATTACCTGCTCCAATTCTATCTGGAACACCTAAGTCATGGAAAGATTCCCTTATGGGAATAAATGCACTTGCCAAAAGACCTGAGAACGTTAAGATATTTAAATATTTACAACCAAAATTGTTTGCATGCTCTGAAACATCCAGGGTATGGGGTGCAGTACAATTTTAGCTGCACTTGAACAGGGACTCTTTCATAATAATTTTTAAGTGCATGATTCCATGAAAGGAAAGTGATACAGTTAAATATTCAGCTGTTCATATAGAATTGGAGCCTTTGATAGAGTTCAAATGGAAGTTGAGGCCTTGCCTAAAGTTTCTTAGAATCTTTGTGCATAATAGGTATTCATTTCTATATGAATTGCTTTTGTTTGAAAATTTTCTTTCTAGAATGTTAAAAGTAAGTGACTTGGGACAATATTTTTAACTTTAGGCCCAGTGGTACTACTTGAAAGAATCAGAAAGAAGAGGAAAGATTATGGGATGTTATCATATAAGAATGAGTTATTCACCCTTTCCATGGGATAATAGAATTTTAAAGTTAGTAGGGATCTGAGATATCAATCACCAGTTCAACCTCTGCCTAAAACTTAAACCCTTTCTCCTGCATCTCCCATGGCCAATCATCCCTTCTCTCTTTAGATTGCTATTATCACACTATCACATTCTTCATGTCCATAATTTTTAGGAAATGTATTCCTGTAGATTGTTGCACCGTGTTCTCTGAATTCTTATTAATAATGAGGAGATATCTCAAGGCTGTGGTCCTTGACTTCCTTAGTTATCCATTAAACATATTTTAATTTCTCAGGACAAGCTATTTGAATTAATAACAAAGGCATCTCTAATGGGATGAGACAGTCTAGTATCCTCGCTATTTTCTGATATATCCTAGTTAAGCCCCATATTTGACCCCTTCTTTCCAAGCACGGGATGACTAGACTTACAAAACAGGTTTTGCTGTCATGCCAAAGACCCAGGATTATTAGAGTTGACCAAGTAATATTTCTTTAGAGAGACTTTTCTCTAACTTTTAAATCACTTAGTGTTGACAAGGCCTGGAAATGTCATGAAAATGTAGCTAAGGGACTTGAATGTTTAAGAGAGAAGTTTAGGACCTGATCTTCAGAAAACACCTTCTCATCTTCTCTTCAGTCACAGAAGTCGATGAAAGACTCTCATTGTCAAAGATACAACTCTTTGTATTGTCTGAGTATAGATGCCTTCATGTAGGACTGAAAAGACTAGTTACTATCTAGCTGTGCTCATAAGAAGTCTATTTGTTCAATAGTAGCTGCATTGTGATGTAGTCTTTGGCCTTTCAATGGGTGTTGGCTCTCCTGGCTCATATTCTGAAAAGGCAGATGAAAGCTGAATCTATATACATATATAACCTCCAGGCACTTTGGAAGTTCAAACTGTCCATTGAAGTCATCTCAATGAACGCTTACTTGGTGCCCCCTAGAGGATACATCAAGATAGAACAACTCTTCAGTTATGCTGCATGAGACCCATTTCCCCCCACAGTCTTTAGTATCCCAAGGACATGAGCAATGTTGTGGTACAAAGAATAAATCAGTTTATTTCAATAAAGGTTGAGCAACTTTGATTTTTTAAACATAAAATATTTTAATTTTTCATCAAACTTTGCTCTTTTGTCTAAATCCAGAATTATTATATCAGTTGCTTATAGTCATAAGGCAAATATGTGTCTTTCATTAAATGCTCATTCTGCCTGGAAATCCTTTTATCTACCCTCCCCTCAAAGAAGATAATGGACTAAACATCTCTTTGGAGCAAAACACATTTGCTTTGGACACAGGAGAGATACATTATTCATATTTTTTTTGAAATTTGTCATTTTTATCCCATCTTTTCATAGCATGAGATAAAATTAAAATATCTTCCAGATATTTTCTAAATCCCTAAGAAAATAATGACAGCAAAACTGACATGTCCCCATAGCCTCATAATTTAAGTTTACAGTATCAAAGAATTTAGAGATGAAAGAGAAATTAGAGGTTGTCTAGTTCATATTCAGTGAGGGTTTCATGTCAGAATGATCACAGTAACATAAATTTACATGTCACTTCTACAAAGAATATTTTCCACAACAACCTATTTTACAGATGAGCAGCCTGAAGCAACCCAGAGGCATATAATAGAAGAATCAGTATTCGAACCCAAACCCCTAGTTCTGTGATATATCTACTATACTGTGCTGCCAGAGTTGACAAGGAAAGTAGCAAATGGTTTTCCAGCCTCTGAACCAATGTTTCTGTGATAGACAAATGACTGCATTACAGAGTCTCCTGTTCCATTATTGATCAGTCCAGGTTATTGTAAAATTCTTTCTTACACTAAGCCAAAAAGTTCCTTTCTATAACATCTATTCATTGATTCTAATTATGCCCTCTGTAGTAACACAGAATAAGTCCACTCTTAGTTTATTTCTGTCTTCGCAAGCAAGGAAAATGGCCTTCAAAAATTAAGTGTAAAAATAATAATCAAAAAACTGGCTTTCATAGAGATTGATAAAATAACTAAAAGGAATAATAGTAAAAATTACCTTTTCCATTAGAGGCTTACCATTTCATTTTTTAAGATGAGATCATTTTCAAGCATGATAATTTCAGAAAAACCTGGAAAGACTTACATGAACTGATACAAAGTGAAGTGAGCAGAACCAGGAGAACATTGTACAGAGTAACAGCAGTTTTGTACAATGAAGACCTATGAATGACTGGGCTATTCTCAGCGATACAGTGATCCAAGACAATCCCAAAGGACTCATGATGAAAAATGCTATCTGCCTCCAGAGAAAGAACTGATGTTTGAATACAAACTGAAGCATTCTCTCTCTCTCTCTCTCTCTCTCTCTCTCTCTCTCTCTCTCTCTCTCTCTCTCTCTCTCTCTCTCTCTTGCGTGCACATGCACGCTTTTTCTTTCTCCCTCCCTTCCTCTTCCTTCTTTCCTTGTCTTCTTGCACGAAATGACTAATATAGAAATATTTTACATGATTGCACCTGTATAACCTATATCAGATTGCTTGCTGTCTCAGCGAGGAGGGGGGAGGAAGGGATGGATAAAATTTGGAACTCAGAACTTAAAAAAAGAAATCAAATGTTAAAAATTGTTTTTACAAGTAATTGGAGGGAAAATAGAACATTATTTTTAAAAATGAAGCCATTGTAAATCATATTTCAGCCTAGCTGTTTATTTTCAAAGGTAAGATTGATTCCAAGTTTGAAGGCATTGTAAGTTAACCAAACAGCTATTTGTTTAAAAAAAAAAAGTCGGTTGTTTCAAATATATTTTACATGACAAATTGCTGTTGAATTCCAGTGTGACTGATTACTTTGAAGGGTTTATCCAAGTTATTGGAAGCAGCCTGCTCAGATTCTAGGTTTGACAGGTTTCCCAATAATCTGTAAGTTTGCCCATTTAGAGATGAGGTATTTAATGCTGTTCCTGTCTGGTCTTGATGAAGGGAAAAGAGAGAGTGCCAAACTAGACCTCAAGTCCTATAGTTAGGATGTTATTTATTTGACTTGTCTGATTTTCCAGAAAGATTTCTTTCTTGTCTTTTTCTAGTCTTGACATAGCATGCTGAACAATGCCCCGAATATAGCAAATATGATGAATTCCTTTGCTACTGGCTGTACAGGTAGTCAGCTGCCCAATAGAATTGTCTTCATCTTGATGTCTAAGTACTAATAGTTTAGAACCTGGGTTTTTAATGTATGACCTTGGCTTTATAATTTTTTTTTAACAATCGTATTTGGATACAGCTGGTTTCCTTTGTTATTAAAGAAAGCCTTGGCAAGATTCTGTATTGTGCACCATTTTCCTCTTTAGTATACAATAAATACAGTACAGTCAGTGTTTCATTAAGCACCAACTATGTGCCCCACATTCTGTTGAGAGCTAGAGCTACAAATAAGAAAAAGAAAAACAGTTCCTGTTCTCACAGAGCTCAATCCAATGAGGGAAGCCAGCACACAAAAAAAGAAGCTGGAAAGGAGAGGAGGAGGAACAGAGGATACCTGCTGCCATG